GGCCCACGGGGGGGGTCAGTATGATTGGCAGGCCCCGCCGCCGACGGAGGCGACTTCAGTTCGGAGTCGCAGCAGCGCGCCCAGTTTGGTGTCTCGGCCGCGCTCTGCCTGAATGTGGTGGCGCCCGACGACGGCGCGTGCCGCCCTGGGGCGTGCCCGCCGCGGGCCGGCCGGTGAGGGGCTCGGCCGGGCCGGCGCGAAGATCCTGCCTGGCTGGGATGTCGACGATTCCCCTGTTGAGTTCGAGCTGGGCGGCGTCGCCGGCGGGGTCAGCGCGCGGGGCCTTGTGTGCCAGGCGGAGTGGAACGCCGACGCGATCGGCCCCGCTCGCGAAGTCAAGCTCTACACTGGGGGCGCGCGCGGGCCGCGCCTCAAGGTGGCGGAGGTCAAGGTGCCCGGCCAGCCGTGGCTGCCGCGGGCCAGCGCAGGCTCTGCAGGCGCCGTGCAGCTGAAGAGCACGGCGCTCGCCCTAAAGGGCGCCGCGCTGAGCGAGCGCAAGCTTCGGGGGCAGCGGGCTCGCACCTTCGAGAAGCTCAAGCGCAGTGCGGCGACGCTACCGGCGACGCCATTCGAGGGTGCAGGCATCGAAACCCGCCCTGGGTACCTGGACAGGAGCTTCTTGCGCGCGGCCAGCGCCCGCGTCTCCAAGGCTGCCTATGTCGAAGTCCAGGGCGAGGTCAGCCGCAGGAAGACAGGCTGCAACTCCTGGGGGGTCGGCAACTACTCCCGAGGTCAGGGGGCCCTCCACGCCCTCGCCAAGCCTTCAAGGCTTGGCCCCTTGGCCCCAGGGCGCGACCCTCGACGGCCCCCCTCCTTCTCTTCGGGGGGCCGTCAGAACCTCGGCGAAGGGGTGGGCAGGGTATGGGGGTGAGAGGGCCCCCGAGCCCATCGGTGGCACCGTGAGGCGCGACTACCTGGGCTGGCCCGACGAGCTGGGCGAGAGGCCACCGCGTTTTGCGGCGGAGGAGGCTGGGCAGGTCATCGGCAGCTCTGGGGAGGCTACGGGCTTCTCCTTCAACCCGAGGCTCACCCGAGTGCTGCACTTGCTCGTCGACAAGGGTCTCAAGGGGCTGTTCGACATGCGGGTCGCTATCGAGGAGCATTGCGAGTGGCCCAACCTAGGTTCCGAGCTCGCCTTCAACCCCGCGGCGTGCAAAGGGATCGAGGGCAGCGCCTTCGCCACTGCCGATGCGAAGCGTATGCCCCTTTCAGCCGCTCGACGTGATGAGGCTCGAGCAGGCGGTTGTCATCCCAGCGGCGGTGTTCCAAGGTGCTGGGGTGCAAGCTGCAGGGCTCGCGCGGCCGCTGGGCGCGCGCCGCGCAGCGGCTAGCTCTAGCAACGTGCAGGTCGGGAAGGACTGGCTCACGCACGGCAAGGATCGGTTCCCATTGCTACGACGTTTGCTCGGTCTTCAGCGAGGGCGTTGGGCTACTGCCATGGCGGCGCGCGCATGGCTCGTGCCGGATTCCATGCGCGGGACGTCCTGCACGGGCATGTCGGGGTTTGGGCAGGCGCAGTCGGGGACCTCGGCCATGAAGGCTGTCGTTGTTCTGTCCCAGAGCGAGTCCATCACTGCCTGCCTCGCGTTCGGCGGCCCGAAGGAGATGGACCCCATCTGCGGTGCTATGCTCCAGCCAGCCCGCGCGCTGGCGTGGGTCGTGCGGGGGGAGGGCTTGTCGATCAGCCCGCTGTGGGCCACCCTCAACATCCGCGCCGGGGACGTCGCCGGGTGGGGCCAGGCGAAGGGGCCCATGGGGGCCGCTGTGTTCTCGCGGAAGCGCTTCGGCTACGAGCTGCGCGACGTCGAGAAGTGGGCCAGGCCCGATGGCAACCGTGACATGGTGCGGGTCTCCAAGCAGCTCAAGCCCGACCTTCGAAGCTCGCAGCTGCAGATCGCCCGCGAGGGCACCGAGCACGGGGCCCTCGTCAACCATATCAGGCGCTGGGGCCACCACGGCAAGGGTAAGCCGCCTGAGAACAATAATTGGGGGCCGCCCGCAGTGGCGCAGCGATGCTACGCCAGGTCCATTTTTGACATGGGGCGGCGGCTCTATCCGCGAAGGCACTCCGCCTCCAATCGCCCCGCGCCGACGTCGCACTGCGCAGGGGGCGAGGTCGCCACGGGGCAGGCGCGCGCGCGGGGTTCGTGGCGGACCAGTTCAGGGCGCCAGTCGCCGACAGGCAGGTCAGGTGGTCCAGGGCGTGCTGGTTTGTCGTCGCGGTTGGGTTGCTACGGGCGGCGCGTAGGCGGCCGAAATGCATGGCAACTTCGAGTGCGACTACGCGGGGCCCTCGTGCTAGGGGGCCATTGTCTACTTCGTGCAGCGCGGCATCATCGAGGTCCCGGGCGGCAGCTTCCGCCGCGGGAGCCCCCTGTCTGCGGGCGCGGACGCGGGTGCCGAGGAGTTCCACGCGGCGCGCTGCCGCGCCGAGCCGCTTGCGCCCGTCGCTGCTGGGGGCGGGCGCCGCGGAGGAGGTGGCCCCCCACGGTCGCGAGCTGATGACCTTCCACGTGCGCGGGCGCTGCTTGCGGCGCAGCCTGCGCACCGTGGGCGCCCGGGGCAAGCGCTGGGGCCCGGCAGCCTGGTGCCGGGCGGCGGTGGCAGCCGCTGCCCATGCAGTTTGCGCGCAGTTGAAGGACGTGGCCAGGAGCGGTCTTGGTCCACGCGCGGGCAAGGCTGTTCCCAGTGCGTGATCGGCCGAGCAGCACCTCTCTTCCAGGCTGCCTGCATGGGCGCCTGCGCCCTGCCTTCCGCCTGTCGTGGCCGCTTTTGCGGGCCTGCAGTGGCGGCTATCGTGCCGCGTGGGAGGCGCGGGCTGCAGGGTCTGGCGGACAAGATCGCTGGATTCTTGGTCCGCGCACGGGCTTGCTGCCCTGTGCATTTCGGCCCGCGCAGCGCCTCGCCCGTCTGGCGGCCTGCGCGGGCGCCTGCGCCCTCTGCCTCTCGCCTGTCGAGGCCGCCTTTCGCGGGCCTCCAGTGGCGGCGAACGGCCGCCTGGGGGGCTCGGGCTGCAGGGGGCAGATCGTGGCGTGCTGCGCGCCATGCTGCTGGAGGTGAAGAGTTCTCGGCCGCCGAGGGCGCGACCTATGGCGCAACCGGTAGATGGGGGACGGTCTTATTCTCAGCCGCGAGGGCGCAAGGTCTGGCACAACGGATAGGAGACGGTTTTAGTCTCGGCCGCCGAGGGCACGACCCATGGCGCATCCGATCGGAGACGATTGTATTCTCAGCCGCCGAGGGCGCAACATGTGGCGCAACCGATAGGAGACTGTCTTACATTGTCGGCCGCCGAGGGTATGATGTATGGCGCAATCCATAGGACACGGTTTTATTCTTGGCCGCGGAGGGCGCAACCTATGGCGCAACCGATAGGAGCCGGTTTTATTCTCGGTCGCTGGGGGCGCGACCTACGGCGCAACCAGTAAGACACGGTTGTATTCTTAGCCGCCGGTTTCCGTATCCATTTTGGCTCAAACAATTTTGGCTCAAGCCAATTTGTTTCAATCCATTTTGGCTCAAGCGTTCGCACGGCCGCCCGTCGCCTCTCGCCCGTGGCTCGCCTTCGGCCTGGCGGCATGGCGCGGCCCAGAGGGGCTCGCGCGCTGGCAGATGCCGCCCTCTTCGTTGGGGCGGCGGTCCGCGGCGCGGCGCGCACCGTGGCGGCGGTCGCGCGCTCCGCCGTCTCTGCGGCGATCTTCGCCTGCGGAGGTGCCTCGGAGCCGCCCGCGGCGGGCGGCGCTGTTGGGCGCAATGTTTTTGGTGCTCGTCCTGCCCGCGACGGCGCGGGGGCGGTCGACCCTGCGGCGCGTGCCGCACGGCGTCGGCGTCGCCGTCAGCGCCGCGCGGTTCGGAAGGCAGTTGTGCAGCGCCCCCCGATGCGGCGGGTGCTGGCGCTGGGGCGGCTCCTGGCGCTGCTTGCGCGGGCCTCGCGGTCGTGCCTGCGGCCGTCGCGGCCGCCGATGCCGTCGACGGCGAGACGGATGCGGTGGCGTCGGACCTCGGGCCCGACGAGTGGGCGGACGCCCTGACGCGCCGTGCGCGGCGCAGCGGCGACGTGCGCGGCGGCGGAGGCGGCGCATGGCCCCTCGCGGAGCGGCCTCGGCGGCGGCGGTGCGGGGCAGCGGCGACCGCGGGAGCGGCGCCCCCTGCTGGCGGAGCTGACGCGGCTCGGCTCACGGGCCCGTGCGCCTGCGCGGGCGACCCCTCGGGCGGTGGCGGCGGCGACGCGGAGGCGCTCTTCCGCAGGGTCGGCGCCGCAGTCGAGGCGCGCGGGCGGCCCTTCGCTCGCGGCGTCCTCCCGAGCGGCCCCGCGGAGCTCCGCAGCGCGCTGGCCGCGGTGGAGCCCCTCGCGGCGCTCCTCCTCGGGCGGCGGCCTCGGGCCCATGGTAGGCCTGTGGAGCCCTCCGCAGGGCGGCGGGGGCGGTTTCGCCTCAGGTGCAGGCGAGGCGCCGCCCTCCTTGGCAGTCGTCGGCCTCGCGTTCGAGGTCGGGTGGGTGACCAGGCGCCTGGGCCAGCGCCAGGTGGTTGGGGAGAAGCCACCGAGGGCGCAAACGGTTGGCGCAACCGACAGGACACCGAGCTGGAGCAGGAGGAAATACGAGGGAGACGAGGAGGAGGAGGGGGAGGACGAGGAGGACGACGACGACGCTCAGGATGGGGGGGAGGACGGGGAGGAGTACGGGTAGTACAAGGACGAAGTGTGGGCATTCGAATGCGTGCGGGGCTACGCCCGATTTATGTTCGCCGTTTCGGCTTGCGGTGGGGCCCAAACGGCCAGCTGTCTTGTGATTGTGTTCGCAACGTCGGATCTCAGGGTCGTTGCGGGGCACGTAGCCTGGACCTCCGATTCCCGATCTTGCAGCTCGATCCTCGATCCTCCTCGATCCTCGGGATTCCTCGGTCCCTGATCCCCAGAGCTCGGTCGCCACTCGTCCTCGATCCTCCGACCTGCGCGCGCGCGCACGGCGCACCGCCTCTGCGCCCGTGCGTGGGCCGAG